TGTTAGATATGTAAATACAAAAGAATTGAATGGTATGCAAGTAGGCTGACATCTTTAAGTGCGACTTCATAGAATGAATTCATGCACTATTTTGCTGGAACTAAGATGCTGAACAAATCTAACTACATCAAGATTTTAGGTTTTCTAATAACTAAAACAAATTACTAAAAAAAAGATCAAGCATATCTTTAATCTTTCCTGATAACACTGAGCAAGACAAAAAGATTTTTATCGAAATAAACATTGGAGAAAAGAACCCCCAATTGATTCATGATAAGCCTGGAAGAAATCTCAAAATGTTCAAGAAAGTCTAACAGATTATGTAAAGAGATAGGTGCAATTCATGCATTACACAGAGCTAGAACCTGACATAAGCCAACACAAGAAAAGCCCAACCTGAGTTTCTTCAGCCGCTCCATGGTCCCAACAATGACCGAATCCAATACATCGAAAACAAAATTTGGATCTCCATCATCTTCATAGTTTTGATGCCTGTTCCGCTTCAAGAACCACTCTTCCGGGCTGGTTACGAAGGGCTCTTCTGCATGAACTGCCACGCTATCAATCTCCGATGTCGGCCGCCGCTCGTTTGTCCTACAAGCTCCCAAATAGCAGAATTCCGTTCGATTGAAACGTTATGAGAAGGCGAAAATTTAGAGCTATACATCACTCCTGCAGATAAAAACTACCTCACGGGGTGAAGGGGGTGGAATTCTTGGCAGAAGAGATCTCCTAATGCCCGAATGAGAGGAAAGTTTCTTAGATCCGTGCAAAATGTCCGAATGATGTGATAGAAATCTTCTCCCACGACGATCGACTAAAACATTTTCGAGTGGGAAGACGATGAAAGAGTTATAAAGGGACCATTTGTACAAGATGATGTAAAAAAACGATAAATATGGTAGAAGCTGACTGATTAACAGGAAGGAGCAGAAACGAACCACCATTTACTAAAAAACGGAGAAGGAAGAAGCGTTGACATGAAACACCCTAAGGATAACGTCGGGACTAGCGAAGAGTGTCGAGCGCCGGCGAGCGGATCAGGGACAGGAACGACCGACTGGCGGCTGGGATTGTTTGGGCCTGGTAAGAAATGAGTTGCAGGCGATTAAAATATCCTGCGCCGTTGGATTAGATGTCCACCATAGCT